CGTGGGCGTGCGGCGCGAGCGGCTCCTCGCCCGCGGCCGCCTCCTGCACCAGCAGTGTCTTGGTGGGCATCAGTGGTTGCGTGTCCTCGCTGTCCGACGCCTCCTCCTTCCGGTACTCCTGCTGCGCCTGCTGCAGCTCCTCCGCGTCCCTGGCCTCCCTGTCGCTCCTGGCGCCTCGTCCCGTGCTCTCAGCCAGGCCCTTGGCCTCGTCGTCCAAGGGCGTGACCTTGGTGCCCTTGCCGCTGGCGGGGCGGCGTGGGGGCTGTGCGTCGGGCTCGGGCCCTACCGCGTCTTGGCCGCACTTGCCCGAGCACACGAGCCCCATCGCACGCCGGCCGGCCCTCCGCGCAGGGCGTCGCTCCCTCGCGCCCTCCGCCTCGTCCTGCAGGGAGGCTACTCGCGGGCTGTCGCGTCCTTCGGCGCTCACTTCAGTCCCGAGGGAGGGCGACGCGGCGGTCCGCCTGCAAGCGCGTCGAGCCGGAAAGGCAAACTCACTCCGGGTCTGACCTGGACCTCGCTCTCTCGCTCGACCGGGTCACGCAAGATCACCGCGGGTCACCCGTTCCCGCAGGTCGCACAAGCACGCGGTCACAGGCAGGAGCTACCCGATCGCCCAGACCAGGTGTCCAGAAGGCCTCGGCCGGGTCAACTAGAAGTCCATGCCCACGCAAGGTCACGAAGCTGGCCCGGGGAAGGTCACGAGAGGTCGCTCCTTGGCCACCCGTCATCTGAGCCGGCGCCCCGCGGGGGTCTGGCCGCGGCGGGAGGGGCCCATGCTCGCGCTCATGACCGGCCGCGCTGAGGGCTTAGTTAATTAAGGCGGCGAATTTTCCTAGCCAGTGACTAACGCCTGATTATCACTACACCTGCGAGAGAGACGGCCCATTAGCACACACAAACACACGCGCGGTCACAGATGGCGGCTCAGGCAATTTGGGTCAAGGCCGTCGCCGGGCGTCGCGAGGCGCTGCCCGCGGGGGCGCTCGTCCGCGTCGCGAGTCTCGAGGAGTTGGCGAAAACGCCGGACGTCGGGAATAGCGATGAATTGCGCTACTCTTTTTCCTTTTCTCTTCTTCTTCTTCTACCTTAGTATTTTTATTTTGGCAATGATACTTCCTCCTAATCATCAGATTTCCATTTGTCCATATTCTCCATCTTAGCACGTGCAAAAATTAAATGGATAGAGGATGGAGGAGAGAGAGAGAGAGAGAGAGAGAGAGAGAGAGAGAGAGAGAGAGAGAGAGAGAGAGAGAGAGAGAGAGAGAGAGAGAGAGAGAGAGAGAGAGAGAGAGAGAGAGAGAGAATTTGAGGAAAAAATCTGTCTGAAAATGAAAGAAAGAGAAAGAACAGCACAAGAATTGAGAATATGATTAGCAAAACATTAACAACAAGAAAGCGAAGAAGACGAAGAAGAGACGGAACGCGATATAATGAGAGGAAAAGAAAATGAAAAGCAACAACAAAGACAATGAAGGAATTCTCAGAATCACATAAAGGACAAAAAAGAGAAAAAAAAATCACCAAACTTAATGAAAAGGAGAAGGAACAACACAGATCAAATTCCCTTTATGCACTCCTTAACACTGGCCATTCTTCCTTTAATTAGGTCCTAATTATGCCTTCCAGCCTTGTTACGAACATTGGTAATTGTGCCTTCAACGTCAGCCAAGATCGAGTTATTTCAAGGCGTTCACCGTAAGGCAGTAAATATTTTTTCTAACCTGTTTACAAATATACCACGAATTAAACAAGATGATGACGTCAACGCGATCTAAGGCACAATCGACCGTACTTTCTGATGCTGTAGGACGGTGATCTTTCGAAAGATTATTTTCGTAAGGTGTCTATTTCTGTCACCCCCCCCCCGTCCAAAGTGTATTAAGTATGTACACATACACACACACACACACACACACACACACACACACACACATACACACACACACGCACGCACGCACACACACACAATCATATAAATACCCTGCCAAAAACGGACGCAGAATCTATATTCTGCAACAGTACAGCCCCTTCCATTTGCTCTCCAGTGTATTTGCAGGCCAGGTATCTTTCGCGACATCAGCTGCACATCCTTGGTGATCTATTAATAACACCTTTTATTTTCGGGCGAAGACAGCTTCCGTTAGAGAGACAGAGAGAGAGAGTGAGAGGAGGAGAAGGACCGGCCCGCTATTATATAACCCGGATCTTTGTCCTCTCATATCCTGCCCCCCCCCCCCCCCCCTTGCCTTCCCCTCTCCCCTCCGCCTCAGCCCATGAGCTCGGCTCATTCCCTTCCTACCTCCCCTAATCCTACCCCTCTTCTTACCTTCCCTTTTCCTACCCCTTTCACTCCCTTCCACCCTTTCCTTTTCCTCCTCCCCCCACCTCGTCTTCCCCCTTTTTTTCTCCTATCGCCTTCTCTTCTACTCCTTCCTCTTCCTCCTTTCTCTCCCTCCTCCCTTCCTCCACCTCCCTCCCTCCCCTCTCGATCTCCTCGCCC